TTTATTATTTATCAATATATTTTCTTTTTTAATTTTTGTTGTTTTTATATTTTAATTAAAATTAGATATTATTGTGTCATATATTATAATATACCTTATGTTATACTATTATATTTTATATTAATAATGAGTATTTTTTTTTTTTTGTATTTCTATTTTTTTTCAATATTCCATAATTATCTTATGTAGATGTTTATGTTTTAGCAACCTAGTATTCTTTCATTATTTGTCTTTGTTATTGAGCCTTAAGTTATTTGAACATAATATATTCAGAACTCTGCTGAATAATAGAGTAATAAATATATTAATAAAAATGAGTTTAAAATATAATAAATTTATAAAATAAAGAAAATCTTATCTTTGCTTATAATGTCTACTAATATTATTGTTTAGCAAGTATCATGGTTATAAAATGTTCAAATTTAGCTAGTTTAATTAGGCCTGTTAGTACACTTATATTATGGTTTCTTCATTTTATATTAGTTCATGTAATTTTTTCAAAATCGAATATGCGGAAAGGAGCTGTTTGGAATGAAGATTTACACGAAGAAGTAATTCCATCTGATTGGATTAGTGATAAAACCGTTTGTCGGCTTCCAGGTACCAAAGCATTGACTGCACTAAAATGCAGAGAAGAATTGGCTTAAGTTTATACAAATAAAAACTAAATTCTCTTCAGGTATTACATCTATATATTACAATTATTATTTTTTACATAATGTGGTAAGAAGAGTTATTTTGTTGATACAAAATATATAACTATTTGTATAACTATTTCAATTCTAAAAGAAAGCAAACAGTATTGTGAAAATTTTAAATTCACAACTACAAAAGAAAAATGTGATAATGAGAATGTTGACAAATGGATGCAAGATTTGCACACAAGTGGAAACTTGGATGCAAATTTTCCACTTGTGTGGTTTGGATGGTTCTCCACAATATAATATATCTCCACAAGCATAATATTAGATTTACTTCATGTTTTTTTACAGATAAATCAATTACAGTTAATTGGTGGAGTTACCTCATTTATAATCAGGGTGTCTGCAGCTCCTCTAAAATCCTCTAAAGTCCTCTTTTTTTAAAACCACTTCTAAAATCCTCTATTATCCTCTAAAGAGGTAAAAATTTAATCAAAGCTCCTCATTAATTCTTCCTTTTTTAATTTTTGATGGATGTATAATGTTCAAAATACCCATTCTCGGTGTGCAAAACTGGTTAACGCCTTAAAAGTGCATGGAATTGTAAAAAATTGCTTTAGAAAATGCATGCTATTTAACATAACAAATGACATTATTTGATCCCTGTCCAAGCCCCATAAGTGTATAAACTTGGACGTTAAACCATTAATAAATGGCCACATAAAATTTCTTATAAAAATTTTATGTGGTCACCCCGAAAATTCTTTTTCAATGCTAGAAATGTTTTATATTTTGATTATTAATTTATTTTTAATATATTAAAAAGGTTGTTTTATTTAAATTAAATATTTAAACAAGTTATTAATAACCAACTAACAGTTATATTAATTTTTAAAAACTTAGAGTATTTTCGAAAGGTTATATGGCCTCAATGGATATGAAGGGCAAAGGTGGAAAAATATGTTTTAAGAACACTAATCTATATGGCGTTGAAAAAGACATACCTTCTTAAGTTGTAACACTTTTCCATTAATTATTTATTTTTTAAATCTTCCCTTTTTGTTTTTTTTTAATATATTTTTTTATTTACAGCTTCTTATATTGTACTCAATGGACCAAAAGAACCCTCGGTTAATGAAACATTGTTTGACTTTCTAATTTACGCTTTATTTCAAAAAGGTGGTGGAAAAGAGAAGAAATTTGTGTAGATTTTATTCAATTACATGTAAATATATGTAATATTTGAATATGTATTTTTGAATAAAACAAGTTTTATCTCTTTCTTTAATCATACCTAGCTATTTTAACTAAACTAAACTGAAAAAGTTCTAAATAGTCTAAGTATAGACAATGAATAGATTTAATATCCATAATATACCTTGATAATGTACAGCAACACTAATGTACATGCATAGTACGTTTTGATGGTGATCATATTTTGACGCACATAGCACGTTTACATACATATATACATTTTGACATACATAGCACGTTTTGATGGTGAAAAAGTATTTTACAGTCGTTTAACGTTGATAAATCAACGTTAAAAAAACTATGATTTTAAACGTTGTATCAACGTAAATTCAACGTTGTTGTAACGTTTTTTCGCGTCGAATTAACGTTGATATAACGTTTGAATCTAACGTTGATTTAACGTTGATAAATCAACGTTGAAAAAAACTTTCATTCTAAACGTTAAATCAACGTAAATTCAACGTTATTGTAACGTTTTTTCGCGTCGAATCAACGTTGATATAACGTTTGAACCTAAGGTTGATTTAACGTTGATAAATCAACGTTGAAAAAAACTTTCATTCTAAACGTTAAACCAACGTTAATTCAACGTTAGGTTTCAACGATATTTCAACGTTATTTCAACGTTATTTGCCGGCTGGGTTAAGTTTGCTATTATTATATATATGATAATTAGCTTATAATACAGAATAGTTCTAAATTGTAAAACATAGTTCTGCAAAATATTTTTTTAAAAATCGAATGAAATCGATATCTCACGATAGACACGATAATGGGTTTTTGGGGTCTATACTTGCCGCTAGGGACACTTTTTGAATTCGAACTTTTTATGTTAGATTATAGAATAATTAAAACGCAAGTTCGTAAATTTAAAACTTAGTTACTCGATGTGTATAACAAAAATGTTGAAATTTGAAGCCACAGCGCCAGCCTATTAGAAACAAAACGGGAGTGAGAAACAAAACATGACAACTCTTCAAAATTTGCAAAGTGAAGAGCATTCGACTGCCCAATTTTTGATCACCGACATATTTTGCTAGGTTCCAATAAAAGAAGATGTTATTAAATGTTTAATTTACAAAAGGTGGCGTCTTGGATCTGAAACAACTGGTGATAAGGAACCCACATTTTCTTCCATATCACATTTTGTTTGTGGAAAGCTGTAATTGTTGTGTTTTAATGCTTCCAATCCGAGAGTTTTAAAAAAACGTGTTATTAATATGATTGATGCCTATCACAAATCTTATATTAATATCAAGTCTGTTTTTAAAAGAAATAGACCGCTTGGGTACCGCTTCAATCCACGGCTGCCATAGCTACTAGCGTTTTACACAACGCAAATTATTTTTCAGTCAGTAAATTGTTTTTCGAACCCCACTAATGTGCACGCTGGTAATGATTTACTTTCTTTTTAATAAAGGCGTATTTTTCTACTCAATTACCGTGAAATAAAATGTTCTCACCTTCATATTTTCTTTTTTTACTTTTATTTTAAAGTACATTAGTGTCACCTTTTACTTTATCTATTTTTTAAACATTATATTTTTCGGTTCACAATTTCCGGCTATGTATAATACTAATTAGTACTAATTATAAGTTCAAAAAACTTTTAAAATGAGCCGCATTTAAGTTCGTGGTTTGCAATGTTAAGTTCTTGATTTGCAAGATTCTTCTAAAAATCGCATTCGGCTTGTGAGCCGCAGTTAGCCCATTTCGGGTCTATCATATTAAAAATAAAAACCTTATTTTGAATTTACTTTGGATTTTTATTAAAATATTATTACTGCTCAACATAGTTTATTTAGAGATCCGAAGGAAAATATTGCGTTCAGGCTCTTTCGTTTTCAAAAAACGCTGTTTTATTTTATGTGCGTTTTGATTGGTTTAAAAAAAAATATCACGAAGCTCGTTGATTTATTTTGTTTACAAATATTTGGTAACTTAAAATCTACGAGTTTTAGATTTTAACTACGAGTTTAAGATTTTAACTAGTTACTTTGGGGCAGCAGTTATATAAAAACTGAAACCTTTTTTTTTGGTAATTTATTCATACGACTATAAAGAGATTATGTTAGTAAATTGCTATGAGAGAAAACGAATGTGAAAACTTCGATTTTAACGTTTTTACTGTTTACGGAAAGATAAAATATGAGGTTTTTTTTAGTTTTTAAGGAACGCAATTTTTTTGGATCTCTCCTTAATGATATTTTTAGAAAAATAAAATTTAATACTGCTCATTCACCATTTAAACTTAAAAAACTGTTGGCATGGCAACATCTTTAAATAATGCTGTTTATTTAAATATTTAATTTAAATACAACATTAATAAATCGTAATAAAATTATAACTAAAATAACAAATAATCAAATAAAACAAAAAAAACAAACATGTCATTATTATAAAAGATTGTGTAAACACTTTTTTAGGCTCATCTTTGAAACAAAATTGTTTTGCCTAAATTTGCCTCACCCTTAACTTATCCTGTTTTTAAAAATAAATTAAAAAATTGTATTATTTCTATTGAAAATATACTTTTACTTAAAATACACTTTTAATTGATTTATCTTGCAACGAAATATGTTTTATTGTTTTAAGTCGTGTTTGTTTATTTTTTATTTTATACTTGAGGTCATTTTATATTCATATATTTAAATACGATATATTGTCTTTATGTAATTTTACGTACTCTTTCGTAAAAATCTAGTGGGCAACCGTCATCCGGGGAACATCCAGACGTCCGATAGAAGTTCGACGGACGTACCCCGGACAACGCATGCCTACTAGGAAGACGTTTATAATATTTTACATACTCTTTCTTGAAAAAGGTTTTTGAAGATATGATCTTTGTGATCTTCTTTTAGAAATTTTGTTTGTATTTGTAAAACATGTAGTATTACATTACGTCAAATGTGAACAAAACATATCAACGGCAAAAGTAACGGTATACGTAACTTTACAAATTTTGTCTAGAGTTAAGATGTACCTAAGTTATAATATGGTAAACTTTAATCACGTAACATCGTGAAAATAAAAAAAAAAAATCTTAAAAATTGCTTATCTTCGATAAAATTTTAATCTCAATGAATAAAATATTTAAATGATAAAATATTTAAATCGTAATCTATTTTCACCTAATTAAAAACATTTTAATAACTAGTTAACCTATTTAATCAATAACTGTCTCAAATAAAACTATAAAGTTTATGATTGTAAACTATTAATAATGTATATAAAAAATTATGACCAAATAGTTATCTCTCTAAAGCTTAATCCCATACTCGAAATTTGAATTATTCGTAAGTATCGCAAACTACCATTCCAAACAAATTTTTCAATCGCTAAACCATTTAAGATTGCAAATGATTGATATTCCGTATCATAGTAGCTTGATTGAACTTTGCAACCAGAAAGTCGTTTGAGAGAGTTACTAGTTCGATCATCAGCATAAACTATAACTGTGGTTATTTGGAATATTTGCTTCAAATCTAATTTTACCCAAGCTTCAATGCCGTTATTAAAGATAGAGTCACAAATACTTGAATAATCGGAATCAATAAGGTTTTTAGGAACATAAGTACTCCAAGTCTTTGAATTAGAAGGAGTAGCGTATTTTGAAACTTTATTTTCGTCTAAAATTATAATGTAAAAAAAACAAAAACAAAGCATAAGCAACAATTAAGTTAAGTTCGTTTTTTTAAAATTTTATTCTTTTTATAAACCTCATTTAAACATACAAATAAAGAAAATAATGTTTGCAAATAAAGATGTCGTTAAAAAAATAAAGAATAAATAACGCAGAAACTCGAACAAGAGATTTAAGTCATGTCACAGAGAATCGCTAAAATGATCGGTTTATTATTCAAACTTTTATTGTTTGAAGTTAAATCATCTAAAATTGATATTAATTAATCATGTAGGCGAACTTATCTATGTTTGGTGTATTTTTTTATTAGAGCGCGTATTAAACAAAATGTTGAGTTCCTCGAGAGGCAAATTAGCTTGCGACTAGCCAGCGACATTCGTTTCAATAACGACAACGGTATATTAAGAGAATTGCAAGTTAAATGAGCTAGATTTATCTATAGGTCATTTTTATAAACTATCTATAAGTCATTTTCCAAACTTTCATTATTCCAATCTTTTTGATTGATCAATAAGTCTGTCATTTTTATTTCGTAAGTCGTTTTAATATTAATTATCATGTATAATACTCATGTAAAAGTTATTATTTAATAAATAGATTCTATTCAATACGTTATAGCTTCTCTATTTCTCTATTTATAGTGTAACAGTTTTGTCCGAGGCTAGACTTTTGGCAAACAATTTAACTTTTAACATAGACTCATATATACACTCATATGCTTATATGCACAAAAATATGCTTGTATAAAAATATACACCAAGGTTATAACATTTTATTATTTTTAAGTATCTTTAGTTTCCTGCATTATAAGAAGATAATCTTTTTTAAGTTTAAAAGTAAACAAAAAGTCATTGTGTTTATTTACTTTTTGAAACGGTAATCCAGTATCACCATTAATTACACAAAAGATCTTATATATAATCTTATAACTTTTTTTACCAGTATAACTTTATAACCAGGTTGATACTTTTGAAAAAAAAACTTTTTTTTTCAAAAGTATCAACCTGGCACTCAAAAGAAGTAGAACTTTATAGAGATTTAAAAACTTGACCTCTATTTTAGTATATACAAACAGATGCTATTCTAGGAACAAACTAGCCGCCTATATTCCTCGAAAAACCAACTATAACTTGAAAATCAACTTTTTTGGGAAAAGGTCATCCCCCTTCCCCGTAGAACCGTCTTTATATACAAATATAATCAAACTTGCAACATTATATAAGCGATCGTCCATATATTACGCAACGCAAAACTTTTTTTAAAAATATAAGTAGGAGATCATTTTGCTCTTTTGCGCGGCGGTTTTCACTGGACTTTAAAATTTTTTTGTATACTTGGTTTAATTAATGACTCTGCAAGGGAAAACTTTTAATGCTTTGTCTTTTGGCTATAAGTTTAATTTCGCGTTACGTAATATATGTACGATCCCTAAGTATTTAATCGAAAAAATATTTAAAAAGAAATTCATAATTAAATATTAATTTTTTTTTCTTAAAAATTAACGAGTCTTATGATAATACCTAAAGAAGGCAACCAATAAAAGCTTTAGCATTATTTGGTGACTCAAAAAAGAAACCTCAAAAAAATTAATTCAAGATAAAATTGCCCAATTATTACAATATAACTATTTTGCTTACATTAAATTCAAGTGTTGTAGTTTTTGTAGACAAAAACAAATTTGTTTATTTTTCATTAAGATACTAGTTTGCTTTTTTACTAATATGGCAAATATGTCAAAGTTTCTGTTTGGTCTGAACAAAATAGATTGTCTCTAAGTATCTATTTTATCTACCTTCAAAAAAACAGTTACTGTCCCATTTGCCCCCAGTTACTGTTACCATGCAAGCCCTTTTAATTAATGACACAATCATATAAAAAGAAAAAGTTACTATGTTTTTTAGAGTATAAATATAGTATATTTGTATTGAAATCGAGAACCTATCTTGGAGAAATCATATTGATAATACTTCAAATAAAATTGCTAAATTTATCGGGATTCTCTATAAAGCTAGAAATATATGAAGTAAACACCAGTTAACACAATTATATTTTTCATTTATACATTTTCATATAAACTATGCAAATATTATATAGGAAAGCACTCATGGAAAAAAACCTAAAATCTCTTTAGTTTCATATTATCTTTGTATTAATAACAATCTTATTGCCTATTTTTTCCATAAAAGCAAAGACCAATTTTTTGTTTCCTACAGAGTTCCTTTTGTCTGGAACAAAATAATCTTAGCAAATTTGGTTTCTCTACAAAACCAACTTTTGCTTCATTCAAACAGAAACTTAAGTAGTAGTATTTTTAATTAAAAATATTTTCATTTCTTTTTAATTGTTTTTTATACAGACATTGTATTTTTATCAAAAATTGATTATAAATTGTGAAGGGCTTTATGAAAAAATCTTCACGAGTTTCTAGAAGCCCTGCCATTGCTAAAGTAAAAAACTTTAAAATATATGAGATTTCTATAATAATTTTTAATCTTTGTTTTTTTGTTTGTTTGTTTTTTTGTTTTTGTCTTTTTACATTGAAAAGTTTTTGGTTTTAACACTATTTGCCTTAGTTTATTAAGTTTTGCTTTTAACACAATTATAGGAATTTAATATTGTAAAAGCATAATTATTACAACGGTCTTGATGATAAGACTTCTGCAAGTTTCCCGCGTTTTTATTGATTTTGGTATAACTAACTCTTATTATTTTATCTTTGATTTTTTATATTTATAACTGGATTATTTTTGAAGGAATAAGAGTATCTGGTATTATTATTCGGAATTTAATTGTAACAAAAACGAAAAATTAAAAAAAAAAGATTATTATGCCGCGAAACTGAAAATGTGTTTTTTTGCTTGAAACTTAAATGAGTTTAATGATTCTTGCATAGTTGCATTAGTTTTTGGAAAAGAATTCCATAATTTAGGCACTCGATTGCTATTGAATATTTTGTATATTTACTTTTAAATATACAAAATATACAAAATATACATACATATATATATATATATATATATATATATATATATATATATATATATATATATATATATATATATATATATATATATATATATATATATATATATATATATATATATATATATATATATATATTACTTTTATTTTAAATATATATTTTTCTTGGCAGTTTAAAGAAATTTGATTGATTTATACTTAAGAAATTCTTTTTAATTACATTTTTCACAAAGTTACAAATAAAATTAGATGAAATTTATATACGAAAATTAGGTTCTGATAAAAATTTATTTTGTATTCATTCAACATTTTCATATTTCTCATTATGGGTTTAGTATGCTCTCCTCTTTTTTTCCGTAAATAATTCTACACGCACCTTTTTGCTAACTAAATATTTTTTAAGTTTTGTTGGTTGGGTAATACCCACATAATATTAGCGTAGTTAATGAAACACTGAATTAAAGAAAGTATATTAACTTTAGATAAACTATATTTACATATGGACGAACTCGGTACATCAGCTCAATAGTTTTACTAATTTTTAAATATAATATTTAATATGAGGGAGCCAAGATGAATCATTGCCAACAAGTTCCTAAACTTTTTATATTGCCTTGCTTTTTTTATTTGTGCTCTATTTAAAAATAGGTTTGGTAATTTATAGGGGAATATTATCATCATGCATTTTTATATGAAATAAGGTTTTTTTTCAACTTTTATTAAGAGTTTATTCGCCGTAAACCTTTATCTTCTTTAATTCTTGTTTGCATAAAGTTGTTTGATGTTATTGTTGGAAAGAATTACTTTTGTATCATCCGCAAATATAATTGGGTTTAACTTTACTGATGCTTTATTTAAGTCATTTATACAAACTAAGAATAAGAGAGGACCAAGTATCGAATCTTGCGGTACTCCATACGGGATTTTAAGTTTTCCAAATACTTGATTTAGAACATATTGTTTATAAAACTGTAAATAAAAGTTAAAGATTTTGAGCAGCCGTAGCAAGAGATTCTTACCTCAACGCAACCTCTGGATAAGCCTGAGCAGCCGTGGCGTAATGGTTCTGGCTCAGAACCCAGAGGTCCGAGGTTCGGCTCTAGCCCCATATGCGACATTGGTGAGGAAGGACGCGTAAACTTCTAGTTAAATGTTCTCCCGCGGTGCTCCGTGATAAGACTGTAAGGACTTCTGGGAGCACCTAAATAACTTATAATAAAAATTAAAAAAATATATATAAGTCAAATAAAAATTTACTTACATTAAAGAAGGAGACGTATATTTTAAATGATCTTTCAAAATGTAAAAAATTTTTCTAATAAAGTTTTAACTTTATTCATTAAGTTTCATTTACTTACATAACTCGTTTTTCGCCTTTAAAGTCTTTTTATTTTTATTTTTATTGAGGTTGTTGGCCCAGAAGGTTTGATTTTTCTATGTTTCAAAAACCTGAAAATTTTTATTTTAGCAAAAAAACATTTTTTTAACATAAGTTATGTGTATGTAAGGTTTGAGGTTTGCAGCGTGCCTTGAAGTTATCTCACTTAAACAATTAAATTTCATAGAAATGCTTTCTGTAAATACTTTTTTTTAAAAGTACCCCCCACTAAAGTACCTACTACTACTACTACTACTACTACTACTACTACTACTACTACTACTACTACTACTACTACTACTACTACTACTACTACTACTACTACTACTACTACTACTACTACTACTACTATTATTAAGTTTATAAAATAACAAAAATATAATTGTACCGGAGCAAAAATAACTGTGGGCTAACTCTCCATTTAATATTATGCACGTATCTCTACAAAACATGTTGTTGCAAGGTGTATTATTTTCACATAATGGCCCCACCTAAAAAGACATGCATACATACATAAATACATACATACATACATACATACATACATACATACACACATACATACATACATACATACATACATACATACATACATACATACATACATACATGCATATATACATACATACATACTTACATATATACATGCATAGACTGCGTATAGATAACTTTTTAAATACATTTTCATTTAACTATATATTAGCCAAATTTCGTTAACCAATAGTGGTCAACATTATATGATAATAAAAAAACCGTCTTAAATGGCCATGGTGCAGTAGTTAAAGCGCTTGCTTTATAAGCAAGAGATCCAGGTTTGAAACGTGCTCTGGACATATTTTTGTGTCACAGTAAGGTAGGAGGCGTGAACTTCCTGGTTAAATGCACTTCCGTGGTGCTCTGTGACAAGACCGTTAGGTCTTTTTGGGGCACCTTAATAGCAAGAAAAAGAAAAAAATAAAATAAAAAAAATAAAAAAAATAAAAAAATAACAAAACAAAAAAAAAATGAAACATTATAATAGTATTGTTAGTTAAATTTTTTGCAAAATCGCTACCCAAGTTTTAGTTGTTTTATTATCACCGTCATTGCCCAATTGCTATTGCTCTCTTAACTTCAACTTAATTGCAACTTACTCTTTCTTTCTTAATTTCCAGGGGTTTTATTGTTTTTCTGGTTTGGTTTTCTGGAAATCGATATCTTGGATGAGAGTTTGGTTATTCTTGAACATTGGTGAAAAGTAACAACTATTATGATTGCTTTATGGAATGAAACTACACTCCGATTATTGCTTTTAAATTTAAAAGTTAAAAATATTTTAAATGTTGATAAGTTTAAGCTATTTTACCATTGTCTATCGAACAAAGCTGACCATTTATCACAAAAAAAATTTTCCAGTGGAAAAAATAGTAAATTCAGACTAACAGGCCTGACACCAAAAATACAACGGAAAAATATTAATCATGTTTGTTATTGGTAAACCTAATATTCCAAGCTGTTTTAAGCAAATTAAACAACTTACTTGCACATACTGGAACCAGGTAAAAGGTTATTATGAGGGAAAAAATTTTTACATAATAGATTGTACTGAAAAAGATTGGCCCTATTTTCGTGTTTAGGGTATGAAAGTAACAGTCGTTGTGGATAACTGTGTAGCCCATCCACATATTAAAGGGATAAGCGTCATTAATCTGATATTTCTTCCATTTAACATAACATATGTCCTTTAGCCCATGGGTCAAGGTGTAATACAAAGCATGTTTTAAGCATACTTTGCAGATACTTTGTTTCTGATGCAAGTGCTCTACCACTGCGGCACGGCTGCTTATGTACGTGTATCAAAGATGTCACAACTAACAAACCCTTGCGTAAAATTTTAATCTTTTTTTTTTATCTAAGTTATAAAAAAAAATCACTTCTTTTTTGAATAAAATAATGTCAATTTTTTTTTGAATGTGTGTTAAAGGAGACTTCAATTATTTTTTGAATGCTGTGTTAAAGGAGACTTCAATTAATTTTTTCAAAATATGTAGTATCAGCATAACAAACCAGTAAAAACTAAAAGCTGCTGAGGGTAATTCGTTTAATCTTTGGCAGAAAAACTTGACCTTTTGCGAAAGTTAGATTTATAGAAGTTAAAGATTTTGACAAATTTATAGACGCTGAAATCCCGCCACGGTCATGTTCAATTAGATGGTACTTTTTAAAAGCTTCTAAATGCTTCGTTATACACTCAAAATACCGTATTGAAAAATAACCTCTAGCACTGAAACACCTAATTAACTGAAAAAAAAAATTTAATTTAAGTTATTTAGGTGCTCCACGAATGCTATTTCGCGGTGCTCTCTTACAAACACCGTGGAATAGCATCTAAATAGAATGTTCACGCCTTTCTTTCTTACCAATGATGCCTACAGAGCCGGCTTCAATCCACGAAACTCTATTTCTAAAGGCAAAACTCTAACACGAGAGCTGAGGATGAAACCAAAATTAACGGTAAAAATATTTCTACAAAAGCATTATTTTTTAAATCAAGTCCAAATTTCTTTATTTTCTCTCAAAAAAATCATTATTTATTCAAAATCGTTTTAAAAATAAACTTCGAAAACAGAAATTTGGGGCATGTTTATATGGACAAGTGCTAGCCCGTTAGCCGAGCGAGTCCAGAAAACGAGCCAGTTTTAAAATTGCGTTTATATGAACTTTGTGCCGAAAAAAAAATAAAAATGATATTGAGGTCAGCTTGGCACTTTCATGCAGGGCTGGCTTTTTTATCGGTAAAATGATAATTTTAACAACATGTTTAGCCGGGGTTATAACGCAAATAACGCTTCTTAAAAGAAGTATTGATATTTCTATATAAACTTCTCAAATTTAAACTTGATAATTTTGACAACATTATTCTTCTACGTACTTCAAAATATGAAACAAGCATAAGAGAGACGTCTAAAAAAAATCGTAGTTGTTGGCTTAAAACTGGCAGAACTATGGGGGCATAATATAATAACTGGTATAACTCCCAGTGATGTATGGAAAACAAATATTTTATGCTTTCAAGTTTTATTTTTCATGGATTTGGTTTTAGAGTTAAGCCCTTATTTATCTCTTGATCCTTTTTCACCGTACGTTCTAGAGCTCTATCAGCAGATAAAAAAAGTAGCTATTACTTTGTATTATTTCAAAGATACTGAACATAAGGTTTCAGAGTTTGAAAGTAAGTTCGTAATGACACGAGCTTTTGGATGCATAGATTTATGGATGTTGAGTGCATGTGGCCAGGTTGTGTACATTATGCTAAAGTGTTTGCAAATTCAACATTAAACATAAAGTTAAAAAATGCTATTCTTCCTCAAACGTTTCGAAAACCAACAAAAAAAAGAGTAAAGATACCTAATTGATTTATTGGTGATCCAGCTTATACATTACTACTATTCTGTACGTAAGACAATAAATATTGCTTAAATAATGAAGAGGTGATTTTTAACAACATGCTTAGAATAGCACGAAATCCTATTGAGCTAAAAGTGTGGTTCAATTTTGGCTGAACCATCCGACAAGGAGATGAGCTGGTTGTAAAGCTCTTATATAGTTTTACCACTTCCACTTCGACTGCCGCTCACAACTGCTTTCAAAAACTTTTTTCGGGTTTCTTTTAATTTTTCTTGAATTCGTTCAGTCCCTCGTTTTATTACTTCTTGTGAGTCCTTTTCATTTAAAGTACAACTTTTTATCTTTATTATAGAGCTCTGGTATAGACAGGCGAATTTCTCTATATAAATTAACTTTTTTGACATCAAAGTGAAGGATTTTATAAAGCGTCCTTACTTTATAGCTAATAGCACAACTAATAAGGTTCTCTACCATGTTATGACCCCATTTAAAGTTTTTTCTTTTTGTTTTATCAATGGAAACAGCCATTTTGAGTGAGAGTTGTCACCAGTATAATTTTAAATGCAAATAATAAAATTAAAATTTAATTATAATTTATAAAAGCAAAACAATTAAAATTTAAATAAACACGGAAGTTGCCAGTTATTTAGTTTATTATTATACGCAAAAGCTTTTAAATTTAAAATTTAAGTTTTAAATTTGAAAACTTTTTGAGAAAGAAATGTAAGAATTTGTACGCATGCGTACAAATTTGTATAAGAAGTTAATCCGCCTGTTTGCCTAGATCTCGGCAAAAAACAGTAAGATCTCCCCATCCTGGCTAGCTCGTTTACTCATATTAACAAAAAAACAAAACAAAATTAAGTTGAAATAAGGATGACGTCGATATCTCGGCAAACAAGCCAGCCCGCTTTCCATGTAAACAGGCCTTTGAAAAAAATTATTGTATGAATTATCTTTCAAAAATTATTTTATGATATTTGCTGTTTAAAAGCAATTTGTTTATTTGTTGAGAAGTAATTAATTTATCATTTTGGATATAAATTTTTTTCAAAATAAGCCGAAAATAATGTAATTAAGCAATTTTTTTTTCTTTTTACGCTTTCTTTTTTTACGTTTTAAAACACTTTTAGGTTTAATGAAAAACTACAAAAGTTAGCAACATTAAATGTAACTAAAATTAGCAACATCAAATATAACTAAAATTAGCAACATCAAAAAACAAAAAGTTGCATAAGAATCAGTAAAAATAAAAGTTAAGTCGAAGGTTTTTTTGTGAATAAAACTTTTTCTCGTTAATTTTTAGAATGTGTCAATAATTATTAAATAAAATTATTCAACAGAATGCGTAGTTTTTACAGTAAGGGTGCTCTCATTATATTTCTCAACTTAAAAGGAAAGTTGTTTTAGTAATTGTCGCATGAGTAGGGGGATGCGGGTATGCATCCTCCATTTCCCACACCTCATCAGAATAAATACAATAATCAAAAGTATAGTATTATAATGTAATTAAGCTTAATTAAATTTAGAACTATCGTTTTTTAACTTCACCTTGCCAATTGTTATTAAAACATTTCTAAAAACAAATTCTTTTTTTTATAAGTTTAAGCTTTTTTACACTTGTTTCAAGTGTATAAATTGTGTATTGTAATGTATAAAAGTATTAACAAAGTTTTCAAATCGGGTTCAGATTGCAAATTGTTTGATCTTAAAAA